AAAAAAAAAAAAGAAAAGAAAAAAAGAAAAAAAAAGAAAACAAACTTAGCATTGTAGTAGTGTGTATAAATATGAAGCATACTTATATGTATATATATTTATACTATACCAAAATGTTATTTTACCCAAAACTATACTTTTAAATTTAGCATGTATTTATTAAGAGGCAATGTCAACTAATCATTACAGTACTACTCATTATAAAATACCATTAAATCAGGTTTGTGGTGGGTAAATGTGATACTTTTGATGTACATTAAATGTATTTATAAAACTTGATATTCAATGTTAACTTTTTAAATGAAAGAATTTACTCCCTGAAATCCAGGCAATTGTTGACAAAAATATAATAAGAAAGAGAGACCTAATACCCATGTAAAAGGGCTAACTTGAATTGACTTGGATTTTCAAAAACAAATGGATATGCTAATCACTGGTAAAATTTATCGTTAGGTAGCAGTGACTCTACTTGCCTAATACTAAAAACATGGACATTTAATGCCATCCGTTTCTCCTGTAAACAAACACAGGCCGTGTTTAAGACTGGGGAAATAAAGATGAACAGAAAATGATCTCTGCCTTAGACGAAGAAAACATGTGCTTTCTCTCTCTACACACATAGACTGATAGAGAGTATCTGCTTATAGCGTTAGGGAAGGCTTATAGAAGTGGTAGCAGGGAGTTGAATCTTGAAGCATATTATAGTTTTCCAGGCCAAAAAGGGGATGAGAAGAAAATTCAAAGCAGAAGAAACCACAAACGGGCATGAAAAATCAATGCATTTAAGGAATGAAGAATTTGGCAAAGTTTCCTTAAATGCTTCTGGCCTGGGGAACATGATAAATAGTGATTAACACAAAGAATTAAGAAGTAGGTTCTGGATGAACGTGAAGAGATAACATGAATTTGATTATAGACAAGCTAGGACTGAGGAACCTTTACGTGCTCTAGCTAGAGAGGGATAAACAGCTGGAAGTAAGGTTCAGGAATACAGGAGAGACAGGTCAGGGTTAGAGAAGAAGATTTGTGAATCATCAGCATAGAGATGAGAGATAAAGTTATGAATGTGGATAAGTCAGAACAGCCACAACACAGAAAATTAAAATGTGATAATAAAGTCTTTTCATAACCTATACCCTTCAGCCAACATACATTAAGTAATCTAATAACATATTTGTATCCATAATATATCTAAAAAGCATTTCTTTCTGGCTAACAATTATCTTCATTGTGAATACAATGTACATATAATTTTGCATCCTTTTCACCATCTGGTCATGTTTTATCCATTTTTCCATTAGGATATATTTTATCAATTAATGTAAGAATATTAACTCTGTCATTTCTGTTGCAAACATTTTGCTATGTAGCCTTAACTACAACATATAGATGGTGTAAGGCAAGAGCTGACGGTTTTAACTTTCTGGATGGTAAATCCAAAATTAATAGAAGGTGCATAGACATACAGTTTGTATTTTGTCACTAGCGTCTTACAGGCACAGATTGGGTAGAGAAATGGTTCTTTAATTGTGGTTTAGGATTCCTCAGGGACAAGACCCTTTAAGAGACTACATGAGATCAAAATGATTTTCATAATATGATGTTAATTGCCTTTTTACTCTTACTCTCTCATAAGCACAGACTTTTACAGAGGTTGAATGATATGTTATACTGTATCAAAATTTATAAGCATATATGAAGATCCGGCTGTCTAGTAATAAGCCAAGCATTAAAGGGATTTGCAAAAATTTAAAACAACGTCACTCTCCTTAATTTTAAGTAATTTTATTAAAAGTGTTATTTATATTAATAAGGGCTATCTTGTACAGTTTTTAAAATTATGTTTCATTTCTACAAATTCAGGAGGTAAATGTGAAATTTTTAAACACATATACTAAAAAATGATCAAACCATGTTATGCAGAGTGTCCGTGTCCATTGCTCTAGTACAATGCAGTTTTAAGCATAGTAATCCTACTCTGCTATCAAATACTGAATTTATTCCATCTTACTGTAAGTTTGTACTCTAACCCACTCCACTCATGCTTCCCCCACGTCCCACCACTTACCCTTCCTAGTCTGTTATCTACTGTTCCACTCTCTACCTCCATGTGATCAATTGTTTTTTGACCCCACATAAAAGAACATGTGATTCTGTCTTTTTGTCCCTGGCTTATTTCACTTAAGATTATGATCTCCAGTTCCATCCATGTATACTGCAAATGAAAGGATTTCATTCTTTGTTATGGCCAAATAGAATTTCATTGTTTATAGAATTCCATTTTCTTTATCCATTGACCTGTTGATAGACACTCAGGTTGACTCTTTGCTATTGTGAATGGTGCTGCAATTAGCATGCATGTGCAGGTAACCCTTTGATATACTGATTTCTTTGTCTTTGGGTAGATACTGAGTAGGGAGACTGCTGGATCAAATGATAATTCTATTTTTAGTTTTTTGAGAAATCTCCATACTGTTTTCCATAGTGGCTGTACAAGTTTACATTCCCACTAACAGTATACAGGAGTTCTCTTTTCTCTATCTTTGCCG